TGTGTGTGTGTGGAGGTGGGGGGGAGAACACGACACACAGAGGCAATCTGTTCTCTGTGAGATAGTGCATGTGTGCATGCATGTAAAGAGGGACCATGAATGAGATTAATCTGCTGGGACAGGAGAACCTAACAATCTGATTCTAAAATTTATTTAGAGAAGCAAAATACCAAGAACAGCTAAAATATTCAAGTTTTAGAGGGTCTTTGTCCTACCAGGTAACAACAGAACTTGGTACACAGCTACACCATAAGACAAGGAAAACAGTGACACAAGCAGAACACAAGAGGGACACATACACATTCAACAGGATGTTTCAGGGCAGTCTGGCTACAAGAAACAGCCTCAAAAAAATAAAATAAAATAAAAATCAGAAGCAGGGATTGGAGACGTAGCTTAGTTGGTGGTGTTTGCTTAGCATGCACAAATCCCTGGGTTTGACCCCTACCATCCATTTGGGAAGGCTGAGGCAGACAAGTTCAAAAATCAGTCTGATCTAGAGACCCTTGTCCCCTCCCACCAAAACAAGAACTCTGCTATCACCACACCAGTGCTTTTAAACTCTTCCTTAGCAGACACCAAAAAACCTTTAAAACATGCCATGTATGGCTCTTTGGAAGGAATCATTGCTAATTTAAAATGTTTTTCAAGTCTCCTTCCCTAGTACCAATTTTGACTCCTCTGAGGAGAGGGAACTTCTAGCGACTAAAGCATTTGGAAAATAATGTGCACAAGATATCCCATTAAAAGACAACTGTAGAGCCGGGCATGTGGCACACGCCTTTAATCAGCACTCTGAAGGCATAGGAAGGTGGATCTCTGTGCCTTCAAGGCCAGCCTGGTCTACTTAGTTCCAGGCCAGCTGGGGCCACAGGGAGACCCTGCCTCCAAAAAAAATAAAAGAGACAACTTTAAGAGGCCTAAGAAATGGCTCAGAGGTTAAGAGTACTGACTGTTTGCAGAGGACCCAAGGAGCTCAATTCCCAGCACCCACATGATGGCTTACAACGATCCCTAACTCCAGTTCCAGGGGATCCAATGCCCTCTTCTCACCTCTGTGAGCACTGCATGACATGGGTGCACTTACATGCATGCAAGCAATACACTAATATACATAAAAATTAAATATATAAAATACATATTAAAAAAGAGACAACTCTAACACCAAAGACAACTCTACAAAGCTGGGGATAGTGATGCTGTGGCACAGACTGTCCTCTGAATGACAGTCCATGGACATCAGATGCCTTCTTCCCAAGCTGGGTTGCACCAGCTTGATTAGCACCATCACAAACAAACCTATTGATGCTCCGCAAGAAAGGAGGGGCCGGGAGAGTCGGTCACACCTCCCACCAGTCACCCTGAGTTGCACAAGGAGAGAGGGCTAAGGGCTTCAAAGTGGAAAAAGCCCATAAGGAGGGGGTAGTATGATAAAATGTTTGTCAGAATGCTGTAAGTCAAAAGAAGCTTTAACATGTACCTTTTATTATTATTTTTTTATTTTGGTCTTTTTGAGACAGGGTCTCCCTAAAGCCCCAAATGGCCTGGAATTCACTATGTAGACCAGGCTGGCCTCAATTTCAGAGATCTACCTGCCTTTGCCTCCCGAATGCTGGGATTAAAGGCATCTGCCACCACACCTGGCATAACATGTACTTTTATTGGGAGTCATTTCATAAAATAATTTCCAATACTGGGGAACTTCGCCTTTCCTAAAACAAACAGAAAAGAAGTCATTAAACTTACCTCTACATTTTCATCCCCCATTTCTTGAGGGGCATCGGTGTCTGGTTCAATTACACCTTCATTGTCAATTTCTGTGAATGTTGGGAAAAAATAAGAAGACCTGTGATATATAATACAGTGGCCACCACTCACCTGAAACTGCTAAAAACAGATGAACTGGGTATAGCTCAGTGGAGTGCTTGACTAATATGCTGGAGGTTAGGGGCATGATAAAGCTCAAAACACGCAATAAACCATTTGTCAGTGTACCTATGAACTATTTTAATTTAAACACTGATACATTATAAAGCACTTCCCTGTTAAAAACAATTATTTTGGTAAGACTACTGTTTTAATTGCTATACCAAGTCAAATAGTTACTGTAGTGGTAATCTTGGTGCACATTCTATTACATATAATACACCACTACTTTAGTCAGTCTCAATCAATTGAATTGGAATAAAACTTTTGGGCCCGTGATACGTCTAAGTGTGTAAAAGAGCTTGCTGCCAAGCCTGAACTTGAGCTCAATTCCCCAGAACCCAACATGGAGGGAGAAGAGAACGACTCCCCAAAGTTGTCCACTGACTTCTACATTCCCTATCTCAAGTCAAATAAATGTAAAAGATTCCTAAAGATGTACATTTCAAATATTTATGCAGATAGTACAAGTTATATCAAGATTAATATAAAATATAATAAAGTATTTCAATATAATTTATTTTTTTTAAGTGTAGGTTTTTTTTTGTTTTTTGTTTTTTTTGTTTTTTGTTTTTTGAGACAGGGTCTTCTTGTACTCCCAGCTGGCCTGGATTTCACAGAGATCCGCCTGCCTTTGCCTCTGGGATTAAAGGCCAGTGTGTGCCACCATGCCTGGCAATTTTTTTTTTTTTTTTTTGAGATATGCAGCCCTGGCTGGTCTAGAAATTGCTATGTAGACTCGGTGGGCCTCAAACTCTGCCCCTCCTGGGAGTAAAGAGCTGTGCCACCACACCCAGCAAAAGATTTATTTATTTTACATGTGTCTGTCTATGTGTATGTGTGCATACTAGGTGCATGCAAGTGTCTGTGGAAGCCAGGAAATGGCATTGGATCGCCTCAATCTGGGAGTTATAAGCAGTTGTAGGCCTCCAGATGTGGGTGTTGGGTCTAACTCAGGTACTCTGTAAGAGTAGCAAGTGCTCTAAACTGCTGAACCATCTCTCCAGCTCCCCAGAGTGGACAAATTTTAATTTAAAAATATACACTACTGATGGCAGGATATAGTCCCTAGGTCAGCATTATAACTAAACCAGTAAAGGCTGAAACAATGTAGGTGAATTCTGTGCTAAAAATGATTATGATCTGCTTCAATAGAGCAAACAAAACAGAACAGAAAACAGATAACATTTATTTTTATTTTATGTGTTTGAGTGTTTTGCCTGCCAGTGTACCGCTTGTGTGCCTGGTACTCATTGAGGCCAAAAGAGGGTATCGGATTCCCTGAGACCTGAGTTACAGATGATTGTTAGCCACCATGTGGGTGCTGAGAACTCAGTCCTTTGCAATAGCAGCCAGTGCTCTTAACCAGTAAATCATCCCTCCAGGCCCTCGCCCCAACTTTTAAAAAATAGGGGAATAACTGCTAACATTGTATGCAACAAAGGTGTAATGGGCTACTGTTGTTGCTGCTTTGTGGTGCTAGGAGTGGAACTGTGAGCCTGGAACACGAGTCTAACCTCTACTACTGTGCTGTACACTCAAACCCCAATGTGATGCTATCATGTAAGTAGACACTGTAAAGCTGGGATGGCAGTGATAAAATATTCCTTCATCAACCAACCTGCCCATCATCTAACGCTTGTTTTTGGCAGGATCACTGAAGGTCTCATCTCACAGTAAATTTTTAAAGTACACAATGCTTTAACCATAGTCACCAGGCAGTACTTTACACCACCAAAACTGGTTTGGCTTATAACTGAAAGTTCTACCTTTTGCAAAGAACAAAAGAAATTTCTGATCCATTTTTAACAGAAATTTGTCTAACTAAGTACAGGTTGATTTCACTCATAAAATGCTTTTAGATGGAATGTTGGGGGAAAAAATTATTAATTATGAGAATTGTTAGAAAATCATAAGACTTAAAAAAGGCATTTTTTAGTGAAAAGTGTTTACTTTAAATTAAGCCCAAAACTTCACATAATTATAATAAAAATCATTTTTTAGCAATGAAAAGGTAAACTGGTTAAAAAAAATTGAAAACTTATGCCAGGTGAGGTGGTACACACCTTTAGTCCCAGCACTCGGGGCAGAGCCGGGGGGATCTCTGTTAGTTCCAGGTCAGCTGAAGCTACAGAAAAACCTCACCCTCTCCAAAAAAAAAAAAAAAGCTACATGCTACATGTGTAAATTAATCCAGATTTGAAGACCACATGACACAAGGAAGAAAATAACTCAGTAACAGCTTTTGTATTGTGATTACATGGATGTTAGTATTTTAACTAACATGTCAATGGTCTGAGTAACATTATATTGTGTAAAACAAGCTCTGCGCTCTGCGGCTCACAGCTATAATCCCAGCACTTGGGAAGCTGAGGCAAGAGAAATGCCAGTAATTTAAAACTAGCCTGAACTACAATGAGACCCATCTCAAAAACCAAATAAATAAAAAATAGACTTTAAATATGTACATATTACAAACTGATTTAATCTGTTCCATTCTACTCTCTAAAAGAAGAAAATTGGGAGATTTATTTATACCACGAATATTTCTATTAGAATAAATTTAATCAATTAGTTAAAAAACAAAATCAATGCAGTCCAGGCCTGATGGCTGAGGCAGGACTGCCAAGAATCCAAGACCAGTCAGTCAGCTTGAGCTAAAGAGTGACCCTTTCTCAAAAACAAAAAACTCACACAGGATCCCATCATCAGTGTTATCAAATATAAATGTGCTCACCCAGATCACTTTCCTCACTTGACGGTTCATCTGTCTTTATGTTTTCCTCTCTCTTATTATCTGTTTTTTCTTCCTAGCAAAAGAAAATCAAATAATGTTGATATTTAAGAATGTACACATATGTATGTATATACACATTAACACAAATTTACACCTTAATTACTCAAATATATTTCAGTTGCTAATACTCCCTTGTTTCATTTCATTTATTTTTATTTCTTTTAACTATAGGTCTAGTCCCTTATCCAAAACTTAAGGATGATAAAATGTCAAGGGTTTCAGAAAGAAAGCAAAACAATTTACACACCATACATTAGATAACACTCTTACACAGGCACTACTATACCTTCTAACTCTCCATTATCTAACACCCTGGCTGGACATCATAGTAGCTTGTGCTTATACACAGCACTTGGGAGGTAGAAGCAGGAGGATCAAGAGTTTAATGTCAGCATCAACTAACTATATGTGAGTTTGAGGCCAGCCTGAGTTGCATGGACAGTCTCTAACAACTACAACAGTACAAATATTAACAAGCACATTATGAATCCATGTAAAATAAATATTCATGACTGATGGTAAAGATTTTAAAACTGCTAGGCAATGGGGTATGCCAATACTTCAAAGATTACAGAGGCTGAGACAGGAGGGTCACCTGAACCCAGGAGTTTGGGCAAGTAAATGAGACTGTGTTTGAAAAGGAACATGATTTCAAATCATGTTTTTCTTTACTGCCAAATTTCTTGAAGACTTTATTTTTCAAAAAGGGTTGCTCACAGTTTGGAAATTTCAACACAGTTATTTAGAACTGTAACACACAAACTTTAAAGATCTTAAAGGAGCACATGATGGAAAACAAACTTCTTCCCATCCTCTAGTACCCACTATGGCTTCTGAGATATTCCAATCCACAATATTATCTTTTCTTTTTCCTTCTTTTTGAAGAAAAAGGTCTAGTCCCTTATCCAAAACTTAAGGATGATAAAATGTCAAGGGTTTCAGAAAGAAAGCAAAACAATTTACACACCATACATTAGATAACACTCCCTCTAGCCCCAGCTGTCCTGGAACTCACTATGTAGACCAGGCTGGCCTCGAACTCACAGAGATCCACCTACTTCTGCCTCCAAGTGCTGGGATTAAAGGCGGGCACCACCACGCCCGGCTATCTTTTCTTTTTTAATATTTTATTATTCTTAATGTGTACAAGTGTATGGCCTGCATATATGAGTGCACCTGTGTCGTGCAATGCCGAGAGGTCAGAAGAGATCTGTGGATTCCCCTGGAACTGGAGCTAAGGACAGTTTGTAGCCGCCATGTAGGTAGGGAATCGAACCTGGGTCCTCTGCAAGAGCAGTCAGTGCTCTTAACTGCTGAGCCATCTCTCCAGCCCCAATATTATCTTTTCTTAAAAATATTTTGGGGGTTGGGGATTTAGCTCAGTGGTAGAGCACTTGCCTAGCAAGCTCAAGGCCCTGGGTTCGGTCCTCAGCTCCAAAGAAGAAAAAAAAATTGTTTTATTATTTTTTTATGTGAATGAATGTATTGCTTGGATGTGTGTAAGTTCACCCACGTCATGCAGTGCCCACAGAGGACATTATCTAATGGGAGATAACTTGACATAGTCTTCTACATTTATCCAGGTTCTGTATCTTAGAAAATGTATCACTATCAGTCAACATTTATTCACTCAACTACATCAATATATCAGAAGTTTGGTTAACTGGGTTTTGAGGGTTCCCCCCCTTTTATTTTTATGTGTATACATGTATTGCCTGCATGTAGGTAAGTGCACCTGTGTCATACAATGCTTGCAGAGGACAGAAGAGGCTGTTGGATCCCCTGGAACTGGAGTTATGGACAGTTGTTAGCTGCCATGTGGGTGCTGGGATTCGAACCTGGGTCTTCAGCAAGAACAGTGATCTTAACCCCTGAGCCATCTCTCCAGCCCCTCCCCTTTCATTTTTATTTTTTGGTTGTTAGTCTTAGCCTTTAATGGCTCCGCTATCCCTCCAGCCCATCCTCTTTCAATTTTTAAAAAGCAAAGTTGGGGCTAGAGAGAAGGCTTGGCAGTTCAACGTTCTGACTGCTCTTACAGAGGACCCAGGTTCGATTCTCAGCACCCGCACAGCAGCTATGAACCATCCTTAACTCCAGTTCCAGAGGAATCCGAAACCCTCTTCTGACCTCTGCAGGCATTGCACGACATGGGTGCACTCACATACATGCAGGCAATACACTCAATACACATAAAATAAAAAGAACAACAACAAATATTCTGGAGCAGAAGAGATGGCTCAGTGGGTTAAGAGAACTTGCTGCTCTAGGAGAAGACTTAGGTTCGGTTCCCAGCACCCACGTGGTAGCTCACAACCATCTGTAACTCCAGTTCTAGGGAAATAGACACCCTCTTCTGGCCTCTGATAGCACTAGGTACATACATGGTGCACATACATACATGCAGGCAAAACACTCATACACATTGAAAAAAAAAAGCGAAAAACTTTTTTCCTAGCTTTTCAAGACAAGGTCTCAATTACATAGCCCTCCTACACCCAGAACTTCCTATATAGACCAGGCTGGCCTTGAATTGCAATATCCACCTGCCTCTGCTTCACAAGTTCTAGGATTAAAGGCAAGAGCCACCATGCCTGGATAAATGATGAATTTTAGGAAAAAAAAAAAAAAAGAGTCTAAGCTACCACTTCATTTCCAAGTATTTGTCGAATCCTCACTAAATGTGTAAATTACTGAAAATGTTAGCATACACTTCTATTACTTTAAAACTTTTTATTTTTTGAGAGTGTAGCCCACACTGGCCTCAAATTTGCAACCCTCCTGCCTCAGCGTTCACAGTACTGGGATTCCAGATGCCTATCAGCACGCCCAACTTGGACTAATCATAATTCTAATCTAGCATACATATATTGCAAGTATGGAGTGTATTTGCATGCTCTTGTGTGTGCACATGCACACACAGGCCAGGTCAACACTGGGTGTTTTTCTCAGTTCTTCTCCACCTTATTTTTGACCCAGGGTTACTCACTGCACCTGGAACTCACCAATTCAACAAGGCTGGATGGTTAGCAAGCTTCAGGGATTCACATGTGTCTATTATAGAGCTGTGATTATAGATGTGTGCTGCATACCCAGCCTTTTAACGTGGTGCTGGGGATCCAAACTCAATTTTCATGCTTGCAGAGCAATCTCCCCAGCAAAACCCTTTGGGTTCCCCCACCCCCGCTTTGGAAACAGGGTGTACACCACACTGGCTTTGAACTTAATACATAGTTCAGGCCAGCCTGCAACTCCTGATTCTCCTTCCTCCACCTTCCAAAGCTGGGATTAGCAATGTATACCCAATGCAGTTAACTTTTACTACTTTTTGAGGTACTAGCATGAAACCAAGGACCTTGTGCATCAGGGCAAGCACTCAACCACTCAGCTATATATCCAGAAAAACCACAAACTTGTAACAAAAACTTTAGTAGAGTTGTAGCGTGCACAGTTTTGTCTTCATAAATGCTTATTAAATGGAAAATATGGCTCAGAAAACAGCAATACTGACAAAAAGAGATTTACAAAATTTTAGGAATTTGGCTTAATGTTTCTCAGTTCACTTGTTCATGTGCCTGGTGTGTATATACATGTGCCTGCATGTGTGCATGCAGGTGCATATATGCACTGCAGAGGCATCGTGTCTTTCTTGGTCGATCTCCATCTTACTTTTCTCAGACAGGGTCTCATTGAACCTGGAGCTTGCTGAGTTGGTGAGAATGGATAGCCACTGAGCTTACGAGAACAACCTGTCCTGTCTGCCTCCTCAGTACTGAGATCATAGGCCTATACTACCAAACTCCTTTCAACCCTCTTGCCTCTGTCTCCCAAGTGCTAGGATTAGAGGCATGTAACTTACAACTTATTTATAGCTTCTATTTTCTTATAAATTAAGCCTTAAATGTTTTAAATAAAATAGATTTTATCAACTTAAGACAGCTAATTAGAAAATACTGGGGAAAAAATCTTTTAGACATAATGTCAGAAAATGGGAGAAATGAAAACTACTTAAGAGTATGCTCTCAGCAAGGCACGGCAGCACACAGAGGCAGAGGCAGGCAGATCTCTGAGTTTGAGGCCAGCTTGGTGTGTACAAAGTAAGACCAGGGCCAGCTGGGGCTTCAAAAAAAAAAAAAAGGAGTATGCTCTGGTGGCTCAGGAGGCAGAGGCAGGCAGATCTCTGTGAGTTCAAGGCCAGCCTGGTCTACATGGTGAGTTTGATTAAGAGTATAGTTCTAAGAGTGTCATTCAATCTCTTCATCTCCAATTTCAACTACCAGCAACTCCACCTGACCCTACACCTCCTTCCCTAAGTGTGCTAGAGCAACACCAGGATTCATACTAGAAACTTCCCCTCAGGAGGGATGAGAGAATCACTGACTCAAGATACTTATTTCATCATGCTGGACCCTAAAGAGACAATAGCAAGCACAGATGCAGACACCTTGTGCTTTATTTACATGCCATGCACAAATACAGGTGACACATATACTGACATAGCTGACATCCAACCCAACTGTTTTAAACCAGTTTCCAGAAATTTGGTTAACAAAATTTTTCAAAAACAAAAAATTTAAAACAGATCTTATTTCCATGTGGAGAAATTAAGAATACTAAATTTGAGAACAGGAGTTTCAAAAACACCTGATTGTCCACACCTTTAATACCAGCACTCAGAAGGCAGAGGCAAGAAAATCTTAAGAGATCAAGGCCAACCCGGTCTACATATCAAGAGCCAGGCCACTTGGGGCTACAGGGAGACCCTGATCTCAAACCAATCAACCAACCTAAAAAATACAGTATTATATCACTAAACAAGCAAAAGAAAATTGAACTTACCTTTATGTTTTCTTCTGATTTAGCTTTATGAGTAGCGGGTGGTACTTTACCCCCCATGCTTAAAATGAAAAGAAGATGCTTGTTAAAAGTTTAGATGAACAGCTTTTCAAAAGTTAAAGAGTACAGTCTTAATATGAACGCTTTGTTATGTTTGGTTTTTTTCCCCCCAAGCTTGAAATTATTTTTAGCATCCTAGTTAATGAATCCCTTTCCCTGCTTCAGTAAGTTTAACAAACATATAGCTCCTCAGTACTCATTCCCAATAAAAGGCAGAGAACAAAAGGCAGAGAAATCATTAACGTGCAATGACAAAATCATTCTCCAAGTTACTAGCTTAGAATTTAGTAGGTAGAATACATCTGAAAATGAGCACTGACATTCAGGAAGAGTTCAGTAGCGTAAAAGAATTGCTTAGCATGCTGTGAGCCACTGGACTCTGCAAAGCCCTACTCCCCAAACAGTCCATGACAATACCATGAGTTATTTGAAAACTGAACATCAGAGAAAAAAGAAAAGACTACAGAGAATTTGTATGCTTCAACTGGTATAGCTCCTAGAGCACATAAGTCAAATGCCTAAAAGGGCTGATCAGCAAAAACAAACCAGCAAAAACAGAAGCAATATAAACTCCATGTAAAATAAGGATTAATTTGTACAACAAAGTACTACAAAACCCCCTTAAAATACCATTTCTTTTCTCAAGTTATTATTACTGTATATGTGGTGTGTGTGATGTGAGTGCAGGTATGCATGTGAAAGTGAGAGGACCACTTTCAAGAGTCAGCTCTCTTCTTCCCCTGTGGGATCCAGGGATGAACTCAGGTTGCTTTGTTCAACAAACACTTTTACCTGCTGAACCATCTTGCCAGCCCACCACTTCTTTTAATGACTAGAGCTGTACTAACTACATCTGCATTCCTTTCACTTGGGTAGAACTTGTGGATATAAGGTATAAGTTTAATTTAAATGGGTATCAGCATCCCAGAATTCTACACACCAATTTATACTAGTTATCAGTAAGGTATGAAAATTCTAGCTGTTCACTGGGCGTGGTGGCGCACCCCTGTAGTCCCAGCACTTGGGAGGCAGAGGCAGGTGGATCTCTGTGAATGTGAGGCCAGCCTGGTCTACATAGTGAGTTCCAGGACAGCTGGGGCTACAGGGAGACTCTGTCTCAAAAAGACCAAAAAAAAATTCTAGTTGTTCAGCCCTCTCAATGCCTGGCTATTACCCACTCAAAATTTTCAGCCTTTTTGGGAATACAAACACTTCACTGTGTTAAGTCCCTTTTTAAATATTTACTGGTCATCTGAACAGCCTTTCTGATGAAGTTCAACTCTCATCCAAATTTTCATTACACTGTCTTTACTCATGGCATTCTTTATATCCTATGAGTCTATTTTATGTGCTGCACATACCCGCTGTCACCTTTAGCCTGCTTTTTAAGTATCTTAATGTTTAAACACAACATAAAGCAGAAGTATAATCACAAAGCAGCAAGTGCAAAGGGGGGGAATTTTTTTGCCTTTATGGGAACTTTGTTGTTGTTTGATTTTTACTTTTTAAAAAAAGATTTGTTTGAGGCTAGAGAGATGACTCAGAAGTTGAGAACACTGGCTGCCCTTGCAGTGGACCGGGTTCGATTCCTAGCATTCACATAGCGGCTAACAACTGTTCATAACTCCAGTTCAAAGGGATCCAATACCCTCTACTATCTACAGGGCACTGCACGCACATGGTGTACTACATACATGCAGCAAAACATTCATACACAAAAAATAAAAAAATTTTTAAAGTTACTCTGTTTTTCTATTCTGTCACACACAAAAATACTGTCCATTAGTATGCTTAGCAAAAAATGGCTTCTACGTGACAAAAATTTATTACATAATCCAAAATGTCTTAATTTGCAATTCAGTACAATAAAATGATTTACTAAGAAGAAATAGGTATATAAAACAAAACAAACATTTCTATAGGGAAAACTACTTTTAAAATGTACACAGTAACTAGACACTAGCTCTTTCAAGTTAAATTTTAATGAAGACACCGAGCTTTTTAAGCCGTGTTTTTCCCAAGTTTCAAAATGCAGTGTCAGGAATGTAGAGTAACATAGTCACAACAGTTCAACACTGGGAACTGACAGCACTGCCAAGAAATGTAATACTAAGAAAAGACTAGACAAACCGAAGGAAATTCTAAAATAACTGCCTTATGCTACTCAAGACTGTCAAAATCATGAAAGCCAAGGTAAGGCTGAAAAACTTTGAGCATGGAAATGAACCATGACAAACTGAACGTAGCCTCTAATTCTGGGGATTCAATAGCATTAATTCATCCGTGCGTTTCTCAAGTGGAGAAGCTGTACTGAAGAAACTGCCCTTGTTTATAGGAAATGCACACTCATTCGATGGTGTGGGTCATCATGTTGGCAGTCTATTCTGCACTAAACTGAGCCAGAAATTGTTCTAAAAATACAACAGTTTTAAAAACAGGAGAATTTATTCATAAGCTAGATTTAATGTTTCTCACAATCGAAATTGTAGCTCAGTACTGGAAATTAGCACCAATTTTATACATAAAATTATCTTGCTCATGTTCCAAGACTTAGAACAAGTTAGTTTCCTGCCAAATTTCCATTTGGCCCTTGACAGCACAGGGTTCTGCATCAACCAACCAGGCAGGGCTGCACTAGGACCTTCCCCACAATGGATGCACAAAATGGAACCCTTCTATCTGCTTTGTGCTATAGTCATTCATGCACACGTATGAACAATGTTCTGTTCTGCATTCTGTACCAAGGGAAACATAGAATGTGTTTCTCTTCACATATTACTAACAGCCGTGCTCTATGCACCACGCTACAGGTAAATGGAGCATTAGCTAATCTCCACCGCTTTCATTATCACCAAATAAAATGACTGAAGTACATATATGGCACAAAGTTGTTAAATGGGAGAATATGGTGTGAGACAATGCTACTCCCTCTGGACAGACAGCTCAGCAGTTAGGCGAACTGGCTGCTCCTGCAGAGAACCCAGGCTCAGTTCCCAGGACCCCCATGGTGGCTAACTGAAGTTCCAAGAGATCCAATGCCCTCTTCTGACCTCCGCCAGCATTACACCACACAGGTGCGCTTACACACATGCAGGCAATACATTCATGCACATAAAATAAAAATAGTAATTTTTTTTTAAAAAGACAAAAATACCACAAAATGTATTTGTTGAAAAGGACAATTTGCTTCAATTCTTACTACTGGGTCAGATTCATTTCTCATGTTTTCTTTGTGCAATTTTGAAAGACGTTAAACCTAGATCTACAGGTTTCTGATCTAGCTCAACCTAACAGTGACAAGATAAACTAATTAAAGGCCTCAGAATCTATAAAAATTAATTGAACCCAGGGCCTTAAGCATGCCAGACAAGCACTCTCCCAACTAAGCTACACCCCCCCATCCAAAAGTGCAAGGGTTTTTTTGTTTGTTTTTTGGTCTTTTTGAGACAGGGTCTCCCTGTAGTCCCCAGCTGGTCTGGAACTTGCTATACAGATCAGGGTAAACACAGAGATATGCCTGCTTGCCTCCCAAATGCTGGGACTTAAAGGCGTGTACCACCACACCCGGTCCCAAAAGTGTAACTTAGACTGTTTTAACTTAGACTGAAATAAAGACAGGAAAAGCTTTTATGCTAATATCTCAATTTATGTGCAAAGGCTCCTACATATTTCAAGATGTTTCACTCCACACTTAATTAGGAATGCTACAATTTAGAAAAGAAAAAAAAATGTAGACTATACCCAGAAGGAAACACTGGGCTCATCCATGAGAAACAAAGTGAGATAACACAGCTATTTCAAGGAACAGCATGCCTGACAAGAATTTTGCAGACTTTAATTTGGAATACTCTACATAGTCACAATTTCTCCAGCATAAATTACAACATTCTTAAGAAATGTTTTTAACTTTTTCTTCAATATCCCATCTTCTCTAGAAAGAACACAGGGAAAACAAGCCTTGTATTCTCTCCAAATAGCATCCAATCAATGCCAATTATTTCTTCCTCTGGTTATGTCCATTTCACCTAAAATTTTACTAATGATTTGTTAATTTGGGGGTATTTTTTTTATAACAGTATACGAGTGGATGAGAGATCTTTGTTATTTTTGTTTTTAATTTCATGAGTGATTAGCTGAATGCATGTAAGTGCCCCATGTTCATGCCCCAGGTTTGTGCCTGGTGCCCATACACAGAGGCCAGAAAAGGGCATCGGATCCTCTGGAACTGGAGTTATGAGCCGGTTATTAGCCAACTTGTGGGTGCTGGGAACTGAGTCCTCTGCAAGAGCAGCCAGTGCACTTATCCACTTTAGTAAACTCTCCAGCCCAGTTGTTTTTGAGGCAGGGTCTCAGTATATAGCCCTGGCTGACCTGGAACGCCATGTAAATCAGGCTGGCCTCTAACTCAGAGACTCTCCTACCTCTGCCTATAGAGTGCTGGGATTAAAGGTGTCACCATACCGAGTCACACAAAAATATCTTAAATGAGGCTTAGGATCAAGTTGTTCCTTAGGAAAAAAAAAAAATTAAAATGTAGTCCTCAATTCCTAGTTCTGACCATCATGTAACAGAAACTTTGTTTCTTTTTTTCTTTTCTGAGGCAAGGCCTTACAATGTAGCTCTGAATGACCTAGAACCTGCCAAGTAGACCAGGCAGGCCTTGAACTCAGAGATCCACCTGCCTCTGCCTCCCAAGTGCTGGGATTAAAATCTGTGTCACACCTCACAAGGATTGTTTCTGAGAAAGCAAGGAGTATGCAAAATGGGACTTTTGGAGGGTACATGCAGGTGTGCAAGCCCATGTTGTTCAAGTTCTCTACACCTGACCTGCACTCCTAGACCTACAAAATAAATTATTTTAGTGTTTATAGTTACAATAATGTTTATAAATTCTCAGAATTCTACATATTTAACACAACTAGAAAACTGGTGGAGAGAAAAAAACTGAAAAACTTAATTGGAGAAAGATACCACCATACAAAACACAAATTTCCTATTTTGTTGCTCCCTTAGAAAATTCTGACTCAAAAAAATACTTTCAAATATTTAGTAACCATGAACTCATCTTCCCATAAGAAAATTACTTTACTAGCTTAATGCTTATGCCTTACTGTAGTACCTATTCACTCTGATGAAATGCAACTTTAATGTGTGGGGTTCTGTTTTATTCTTGTTTTATGGAGACAAGTGTTCTGCTGTGTTTACCCAAGTTAGTCTAAAACTACTGTACTCAAGTGATCCTGCAGCCTCAACCTCCAGAGTAACTGGGAATATAAAAAACATTCATGGTGCCCACTAGTTTTCCACTTTCAAAATTCCCTACTGGCAGTGATTCCCCCCCACACTGGTGGGAGGTGTGTGCTGGAACTAGCACTGACCCACCCAATAGTAGTAACGGTTTTAAAATCTCATGCTACAGAAGGCTTCTAGGCCTCCTTTTACCAACTCTGGTGACTCTTCTTGAATATGTAGAGTACTAATATATTACAAAGTAAATTGTTATTCACCTTTTTTTTTAAAAAAAATGTTTATGTATATGAGTGTATTGCCTGCATGTGAGTGCACCCGTGTCCTGCAATGCCACTGAGGTCAGATTCCCCTGGAACTGGAGTTAAGGTTAAAGGCCAGTTTGTAGCTGCCATGTGGATGCTGGGAATCGAACCCAGGTCCTCTACAAGAGCAATCAGTGCTCTTAACTGCTGAGCCATCTCTCCAATCCCTCACCTGTACTCTTAAATAGTACTTGGGTAGCTAAACAGGCACTAGGAGGCTTGGAGGCCATTCAGGATAAGATCCTCTCTCATCAGCTTTGGACCCCAACTCCTGTTTCCCTGTCAACACTAGAAAGAAGAATCAGCTTTGACCCTCAGTAAAATTTAAAATAAATAAATAAATAAATAAATAAATAAATAAATAGAGGGTAGAAATCAGGGCTTTGTTAGGTTAAGGGAAAGTTATTCCCTCTCAGGGAAAAGAATACAATCTGAGTTCTACCTGTCACTGGGGAGACCTGACATTCTAAGCTGCCTGATACATTACCTACATATTTATTGGTTTCCTCCCCTAAAGACTGTCAATCACCTGGCCTAGAACCCACCTCTCAGAAAAGCTGATGCACCTGAAGATACCCTAAGAGATGGGCAGAATAATTATCCCTGGTAAGATAATGAACTTACACACCCTATCTTTGCCAGCCTCTACTGCTGATCCTCACTCAGATTTTCCTGTATCGCCCACTGGCAGCTGCCAATATTTACAATTTGCCTGTCCTGCTTTTCCCTCAAACTCACAAAATTGTTCTCAGTCCATTTTTAAATCCTTTTATCAGAAAAGACTAAACTCAGAAAAGAAAGGGGCTTGAGAGACGGCTAAGCAGTTAAGAGCACTAGCTGTTCTTACCGAGGACCCAAGTTCAGTTCCTAGCAGCCAGATGGCGACAACGGTCCCTAACTCCAGTTCTAGGGAATCCGACGCCCTCTTCTGACCTCCTCTGGTACTGCACAACACGGGTGCACTTACGTACATGCAGGCAATACACTCACACACGTAAAACATGGTAAATTTAAAAAGTTTAGGGGCGCCCTAATTCCCCCTGTAATACTGTTTTCCAGCAGCTGGCACAATGTCTGTTCACGGAATTCCTCCTACGCAGGCAAAACACACTACAGTTAAAGACTGTCCTGCAAACATGCTGGTCTTTGAAATTTTTCCTTAAAGTGTCTTAAGTGACAGTTCTGCTACTCATGGTGGTGTGATTCCCAACTTAATTCCATGCAAATTAGAATCACTGGAAGGTAAAATACAGATTCACTATAAAGTCACCATGACTGCACAGTTTTGAACAGGATAGTGCATCAAGGAGTTCCTATGGGTCAAGGCGACTTAAGCAGGACGCCAGAGGTTAAATTTCCTTAAAGTGTCTTAAGTGACAGTTCTGCTACTCATGGTGGTGTGATTCCCAACTTAATTCCATGCAAATTAGAATCACTGGAAGGTAAAATACAGATTCACTATAAAGTCACCATGACTGCACAGTTTTGAACAGGATAGTGCATCAAGGAGTTCCTATGGGTCAAGGCGACTTAAGCAGGACGCCAGAGGTTAAATTAAAAAAAAACCCGACCTGAAAGATTTGTCTCTTCGGTTCTTCAACACTACT